GCTCCTGCTCTTGTGGCCTGAGGTCAGGGTCGGGGTTAGGGTTAGTGCCTGGCCGAGCACCTGCCTGCTTTTCGGTGTGGCCATCTGGCATACTGGGGAAGAGAGTGTTGCACACTCTCCCAGGCTCCCTCTCCCTGTTATACAGCAAATCTTTCTTGGTGCCATTCCCCTCTCCCCCCACGGGAAGCTGGTGTAGGTAGGACATGTTTTCTCCTTGCCAGGAGTTACCATACAGTTAGGAGGCCGACCTGTGAGCAGAAAGTTCTACAACCAGGTCTTGGTCCTGGGTGATTGCCTGCCCCAAACAGGACAGCCAGGAGGGCCTTCAGGAAGAAGTGGGAGTCAGAGGGGTGGGGGTCCCATGCTCGGAGCAGCCAGAGGCCATCAGGATCCAGAGGGGGAGGCCTGAGATGGTGATGGGGCTGGGAGTGGGGGACTCCAAGACCTCTGGCTGCCTGTAGGGGCTGCCATTGAGAACTAAAATCAGAGTTGGGGTCCTGTTGAGCCAATGCTGTGGTACATGTAGAAACCAGGCCTGAGCAGGTGCCATGCTGTGGGGACCAGCAGGAGAATGTGGGGGCAAAGGTCATCAAGCTTAGGCAGATGAAGAGGGCGTGAGGACTGGGGGCTGTTCTGCCTGAATGACGTGAGGGGCGGGCCCTGTTACCACCAGAGCTAGAGACACTGAAGGGGGTGGTGGACACGTGGGTGTGGCCCCTCACGTGTTCCCAGGGGATGTCCTCAGCTGGATCCGGAGGTTGCCAGCTAGCTGTCCCCAGAGCTGCTGGGAACAGAATAGAATCCTAAAGGGGAGCTGGCAAGGGGGGTGGGGGCAGGGCTGCTGAGCAGGTATGCTGTATAGCCTGGTGTCTGAGTCACCTCTGGATGTAGCCGGGATGACACAGCTTCCTTGGACTGCAAACGCAAGGTGACCAGACGTCCTCCAGGCTGGGCAGACAGTTGTGGCTTGCGGAGGGCCAGCCAGGGCCAGGCTGCAGGCTGGTGGGGGCCGGGCTAGGGGTGTCCAGCCACATGCTGCAGGACACATGCTGGATGCTGAGGGGCCACGACGGGGTGGGAGGGCAGTGGGGGGGCCTTCCTGGTCCTCAGTGGGAGGAGCCACCAGTTGTCCGTCTGTGAGACCAGCGGCCATTAGTTGACACCTGTTGGTTTGACCAGTGCCCACTGAGTGCTGCCCCTGTACAGCCCCACCTATCCCTGTGGCCCCAGGAAGGGTGCTCCGCTTTGGGTGCCAGGCAGAGATAGCCATGTTGTTGGTGGGCTCGGGCTCTGTGGATTCTCACCTCAGGGTGTGGTGCTGCCGAGTGCCGCCTGGCGTTTGAGCCTCCCTCGTCTTCCTCCTGGTCCTCCTCCCTTTCCCATGTTTGGAGACCATGGAGAACAGGAGTGGGAAGGGCACCCCCTCCCGGTAGACCAGCTGAGGCCCTCAGGGGGCAGGGATATAGCACTGCAGCCACTGTTGCCCCTGAAGATCAGGGCCCTGCCCCCGCCCTCACTGGACAGAGAACGAAGTGGACAGTCCAGCCTAGACGCCACCCCAGGGAGCGCTGGGACCATGGGACTTATGCAGCCTCCCTAGCACGGTCAGCCACTCGGCTTTCTGCAGAAAACCTCCCCCTTCTGGGGCAGCGCTTGGAGGGTGCAGTGCTGCCGGGGGCTCGGAAGCTACAGGTGCCTGGGGCGCAGCCATGGAGGTCTGCTGGGGGCTAGCCTCTGGCTCACTTGCCAGCCATTTCTGGGGTACCTGCCACCCTCCTGCCCAGGCTCCCTGATTCTGAGGTGTGGACACCACCTGAGCTTCGTGGTTGCCTCTTTCCTGCAGAGGAGACGGCTGGACCCTGCTGGTGCCTTCCCGTGCAGTACACCTGGTAGTGGCCTATCTGCTTTGGGTGACAAGCCCAGCCTCTTCAGTTACGTAGTCACCTCAAGGTGCTTACCGTGGAAGGTGCTGGCCCTAGTGACCAGCGCCTCTCCAGGGTTGGGTGAGTGGGCCACATGGCAGAAACTCAGACCTGCTGGTCCAGGACCCCAGCCTTGGCCCCTCACCACTAAGTCTCTGTCTGTTCTCACATCCCAGCAGGCTCAGGGTGTCGGGTCTAGGTGCTGCTGGTTGGCAGGTGTTAGACGGCTGGAGCATCCTCACCGGAAGTCGCTGAGAAGGCTTCTCTACGCTGCTGGCCAGCTGCTGGCGCTGGACGCTCGCATGGGGACTTGGTGGGAGGGAAACCAGCTTCTCGGGGTTTCCTGTGGCACTGTGCAGTGTGGTGTGGGCTCCTGCCACTGGGTCTCCAACCCAGCTCAGGAGGTGACCTTCCAGGTGTGCCCTGCGGCCTGGAGGCTGCCTGAGGGTTCACGGCTTATAGGCCCTTGAGGGTGTTTTACAAACTACTCAGCCTGCAGAACTCTCTCTGGGGCTGGGGGTGCCAATGACAGAGGCTTGGGTCACAGGCATTGCAAATAGACACGAGAACTCTCCTGGACCCCTTTCCAAACGCCTTCGCTGTTTAAGGCGACTTTGGGTCAGTACCACATGGACTTGTGCATTTTAGGCAGAGGTGCTTTCAGGCACTGTCCTACCCACGACCTGAGCCACCCTGCACGTGGTGCGCACAGAAGGGCAGGACCCTGACCTGCAGCCCATTTGGGCCTCACCTTTCACCTGACCAGGGCGCAAAGACACCAGCTGAGCAAGAAGGTGGCCAGGTTGTCCTGACAGGGTCCAGGCCTTTCTGGCCGAGCTGGTCCTAGGGTTTCTGCCTAGACAGGGGTGTGTGGGTGCATTGCTGGCCAGGACTGCAGAAGGGACCCCAAGTTGGTTTTTCACCAGGTTCAGGCCTGGGACTCATGGGACCGACGGGTCCCTAGGGCCCTTTCTTTCCTTCTGACCTCTCATTTTTCTGAGGAAATGACCCAGAGAGCAGAGGCTTCCTTTCCTCCTGCCCAAGCATTGTAGTGGAAGAGGCCTATCTGTCCACACACACACACAGTCCCACAGCTATCATGTGCTGGGGGTGACCGCATGCTGCCTTGTGGTGACCTGACGTTCTCATGGGGTCACGTGGGGGATCCCCTGCCCCATGCACATCCTGGCCACCTCTGCGTCCCAGCACTGTGGTCATACGAGTGGAAAGATCCCCGTGTGCCCCAGGAGCTCAGCACATTGGCACCTTGGGTCTGGCCCGAGGCCTCGTGCCTGGCACCTCCCTTTCCGCTGCGGGGCAGGCGGTGGCCTGGGGCTGGGAGCAGGGTAGGAGGAGCGTCCTTGTGTGGGAATGTGAGCGGCTCTGTAAACAGCTGGTGACTCATAACGTAGCTATGCTACTGCGGTGCCCAGCCCTCCTCCCTCCCACGGAAAAGTTCCTCATGGCTCCCCGGCGCCTGGCTCCTGCGGGTCCCTCACTCCACTGCCATGGCTGGGGCCTGCCGCGAGACAGGGTCAAGTCCTGCCGTGAAGCGGCTCTCACCCCCTTTCACCCCACCTGTGCTCTGCTTGCCTGCTGTCAGCCCAGGCCAGGGGTACACCGCGTCAGATGCTCGCTTGGTGTCTGCCTGAGGCGTCCCTGGCCGGCCCTACAGCTGTCCACCGGCAGCGCTGGTCACCAGGGTGCTGGATGTCTCTCTCGAGATGCCAGCCTCCTGGAAGTGGAAGGTGATGGACCGAGGCAGGGGGCAGGGCCTCAGCCACCAGGTCCCCATCGCAGGGGCAGGGGAGGCTGTCCACACCCGCGTCTGTTCCCACGCTCTCCTTGGTGTTTTCTCTGACATTCCTGCGCTGCTGGCCGAGTGTGGGTTTGGAATGGGGGGCTGAGGGTGCACCTGTCCCCAACATGGGTGAACTTCCTTCCCCTGCCCTTCCGAGGTCCAGAGTGAGCGAGTTTGTTTACCGTCTCCCGACCTCGTGAGTCTTCCCTACAGGCCTGAAGTCATGATTGCTTTTGGGCTTCTCCGTTTCCATGGCGACCACCAGGGTTGGCTACATCCCAAGGTCGCCATGGCAACTATCAGAGGGGAATCATGCTTAGGGTGCTTTGGCTGGGTTTTTCATGAATGATTAGAATGTGTGACACAACGCAGGCTCCAAACAAGAAGGGCGGCGGACGGCGGGGACAGCTCCCGCCAGACGGTCGATTAGGTCAGCCGGGCGGCCTCCGGAGGCGTCCCAGATCCCCCACCCTGGGTCTCGGGGCCGCTGCCTCTGAACCTGCTGCCCACCGGGAGCCCCCGCCCCGCCCTGGGACCGCAGAGGGTCATGGTGAGGTTCAGGGTAGCCTGGAAGGAAGTGGTGATGTCACAGCTGCAGTGCCCTTTGCTGAGGTTGGTGTCCCTTGAACTGCGGGAGGGCGGGGCTGTGGAGGGGTGGCAGGAGCTCTGCCCAGTCCATCTTTGGGGTGAGTCTTGGCAAGGACAGGACAGGGCTCCCCCAAAAGGCCCTCCCTCTCCCTGGGGAGCCAGGCTGGGTCTGGAGCAGCAGGAGCTTCGCCAGGGCCGGACACTGTCCGGTGGCCAGCTCCACTCCTTCAGGGCTGGGTACAGCTCCTCTTCCTTGGGAGGTGACTTCACTGGTCACTTGCGGTACCTAGCGCCTCACAGGTGCGTGTGGCTTGTATGACTTGAGGAAGGGGCAAGAATAGGAGGCAACAGCTGTTAATAGCTGGTGGTCACCCACAGCGCTGGTGGCTCCGGCACCTGCTGGGGGACGAGGGGCAGTGGGTGGCTTCCTGGGATAAGGGCATCCAGGACTGAGAGCTGGTCCTGGAGCCGGAGGCATGGTTGGGGCTCTCCTGAGACCTCTGGGCATACAGACCAGCCATGATGCCTGCCTGGGGACCCCTGAGGACAGCCATGCTCCATTTTTGGGGCACTGTGACTGGGCTGCATGAATACAGAGGTGCACCTCCTTGGAGCACCCCGCAGTGAGGCAGAACACTGTCCCGAGCCCACCAGGGCCTAACCTCTGCTTCCCTCCCCTGTCTCTCCAGCTGTGATTTCTGACTGGTTCTGTCCTGGTGACTGTATCCAGGTTATGACGACTAATCCCAAGCCAAACAAGGCATTGAAGGTAAGGCTTAGTGGGGACTTGGGTGGTTCGTCCTTGTCCCAACTTGGACTGGGGAAAGGTTCCTCCTGCCACAGAAGCCCCTTCCTTCCCTGTGCTGTCCCTAGAGAGTGAGGAAGGCCTTGTCCCCAGGAGTAGGTGGGGGACTGTCTGCTGGGAGGAAGTTCCCCACGCGAGGCAGGTAACAAACCCGGGACAGTGGCCCAGGAGACCCTGGTCTTGATGCAGTGGATCGCAGGCCGTGGGGTGGCTGCGTCCACGGGCTCTGCCCCAGTGCCAGGAGAGGGCAGAGTGGCCTCTGAGGAGTGGGGTGCTCTGGCTCAAGGGACCTGGCTTGGTCTGCCTGGCTCCTGCTGCCTCCTGGACCCTCTCACCTTCCACAGCCCCTGGGCCAGCTATCCTGCCAGCCGTGTAGGCCGTGTGGCTCCAAGCCTTCTTAGGGTCCCTGTTGCCCAAGGTAGCTTATGGGCAGGACACCCTGTGTCCTGGGCCCTGTGTCCTCGATAGTGATGGGTGGTGGTGACGTCACTGCCTTCCCAAGGGAGCAGCCATCGGGTGTTCCCTGTGCAAAAGTGTCACAGCATGAGGGGCATTGGTGGCTCACGCCTGAATCCCAGCTACTCAGGAGGCAGAAGCAGGGAGGACGGCGAGTTTGAGGTCAGCCAGGGCAAAGTTCGCATGAATCTTGTCTGAAAAACAGAACAGGCTGGGGACATGGCTCCGTGCTAGAGTGCTGGTCTAGCATGTGTGAGGCCTGGGGTTCAGTCCCCAGTACCGCGGGAAAAAGAAAAGGTCACAGCCAGCAGTGGGCTGCCTGATGGCCTCCTGGCAGCCCCCTTGCGCCCCATCAGTGGACCATGCCAGGACCCCATGGTGCCACCCACACCCCGGGCCCAGTGCAGAAGACCAGGGCCACTGCTCGGACTTCTGCTGCCTGGAGCCAGTCCTTGGCAGCTTCAGGGCTGGCTCCAGAGTGGACGCTTAAGTCCTTGAGTTGCTGACCATGCCATGGCCCACAGGTCAAGAAGGAGGCGGGCGAGAACGCCCCGGCGCTCAGCGACGATGAGCTGGTGTCCATGTCGGTGCGGGAGCTGAACCAGCACCTGCGGGGGCTCACCAAGGAGGAGGTGACCCGGCTGAAACAGCGGCGGCGCACACTCAAGAACCGCGGCTACGCAGCCAGCTGCCGCATCAAGCGGGTGACCCAGAAGGAGGAGCTGGAGCGGCAGCGCGTGGAGCTGCAGCAGGAGGTGGAGAAGCTGGCCTCGGAGAACGCCAGCATGCGGCTGGAGCTGGACGCCCTGCGCACCAAGTACGAGGCTCTGCAGACCTTCGCGCGCACCGTGGCCCGCGGGCCCGTCTCGCCCACCAAGGTGGCCACCACCAGCGTCATCACCATCGTCAAGTCTGCCGAGATCTCCTCCCCCTCTGTGCCCTTCTCGGCTGCGTCCTAGTGCCTGCCGGGCCGGGCCGGGCCGGGTGCCTGTCCTGGTGTCCCTGGCACAGACTCCACATCCATCCACTGCGGACCCTGGGGGCCACGGCGGGGGCGGCCAGGACAGGCGACAGGTGCTGGATGACGAGTAGGCTCTTGTGAGCCGCACACCCCCCACGTGCACACACGCACACCCCGGCCCTTCCCTCCCTCCCCACCCATGCCTGTTTCCAGGAGGTGCTGGGATCCGGGGCTCTGCCCTCCCCGGTGAGTGAGGCCTGCCTGCTGGGAGGAACGTCCCCAGAGTGGGGACTCATCTTCCCCTCCCGGGAGCAGCCTGCCACCCCATCCTGCCCTGAGCAGGCTGCCGCCCTGGCCAAGCTCTGGCTGCCTTCGGGGGGCAGGGAGGCCTGTCACAGCTCTGGGCTTCCACCCGCGCCCGTCCAAGTCACTGTGGTCTTTGGCCCTTAGCGCCAGGTCTGTGCTCTGGAAGCAGTTTACAGGCTGGGCCACCTGCGGGGGGCTGGTGTGTGTGTCCCACTGTGTGCACAAGCCTGCGCCCACAGGCCAGCACCAGGCCCTGGTGGGGCAGCCTGCCGGGTGGCGATTTCTGGAGAGCCAGTCCAGTACGTGTGCAGAGAGAGTTCCGTGTATGTTGAGAAGTTCACCCTGGGCCTGTGACCTAGGGAGCCACCCAGTGAGCTGTAGGAGCCACCTGGTCACCTAGCCAGCTGGCTCTCACGCCGATCCTCAGCCGTTCTGGGTCAGTGGAGACACACCAGCTGTGGGAGTGTGTGCGAGAAGGTGGAGGTCTTTTGGGGGCCAGAGGAGGAGAGGAGGTTGTAGGGACATTGGAGGTAGCAGTTGAGGATGTGTGGAGTGGGTCGGGGGCCGCGGTGGTGCCTGCTTTGGGGACATGCAGCGATGAGGTGGGTGAGGACGAGGTGGGAGCCCTGGGGGGTCCCGGGCCCCAGGACACGAAGGAGGCCTGAGCAATGCCGCATGCAGTCACGGCACAGACCAGGAGAGCTTCAGGCATTGGCCCTCATCACAGGTCAGCCGGGACCTCCCGACTGCAGGTCACCGTGGCTTTGGTGCTCACTTGTCACCTGGAGCCTCTGCCTGTGTCAGCTTCATGGCGCTTGGAGCCCTCGTTGCCCCTAGGACCCTTCCCGGGCTTCCTCACCAGAGCACCGCCGCAGGCTCTGCTGTGACTGCCGAGCGGATGTTGGCCCCGGGTCCCCCGACTGGGGCGAGCTGGTGGAATGTGAGCCCCATGTCCTGCCACCAGCTGGAAGCTACCACACACCGACAGGCATTGTCACCCGGGTGAGAGCCAGCACAGGGCTTGGGTCCCTAGCTCCTGGGCTTCCCCAGGCAGGGCATCGGTCACATTGGGAGGAGGACAGGGGACAGGCAGCTCAAAGGGCTGTGACTTGCTTCTGTGTCTGCTATTAGAAGCAGACAGAAGGGTTGCTGTACACTGGTCGTCCCTGTCCCCTGTCCCTGGGGTGCGTGGGGAGCCAGGCCAAGCTGCAGTCCGGCCGGTGCGGGCACACCAGATCCTCACGGGCTCTTCCTGAACCATCAGTAGCAGATACATAGCCATGGTAGGTAATCCATATTGGATGTCAGTAAGGACCATGGGAATATTTAAAGAGAGAGTATATATAAAATTATATCACAGTTTATCATACAGGTTTTTCTTAACAATTTTTCTCGTCCGGTTTGATACTGTAGCTCTCTGCGTGGAGAGGGGCTGGTGGGACGGGGGACAGGCAGGCGGCCTCCCCCTGGCTTCTGCAAGCTGGCCGCTCCCTGTGGGCACAGGCCCAGGGTGCCCACTGCCTCCCCTCGGTCCTCCCAAGGGTGGTGCTGGGCACCTGGGCCTGAAAGAGGCAGGTGGCCCCACCGGGGTGCGGCGGGCTGCAGTGGTGGCCGGTTCTGTCCAGTCTTGGGGTCTCAAGTGTCCCCATTTTGTGGGACGTGGCAGGCAGGTGATCATTGTCTGCGGGTTGCTGCCCGCTCTGGGCCTCTGGTGCTTTGCTGGGGTGGACGGAGCAGGGTCAGGGAAGGACATGGCACTGTCTGCTTTTCCTTTCAGATCACTGAAACTCACTATCACAATTTAATATATGGATTTTTTAATTTAAGAGAAAGGACGAGGGCCTCTTTGTCACATGGGTTTGTCTTCTGTCTTGCACCTCCACTTAAAAGAAGGCGAGCTTTCCCTCCCCCGGTGACAGGGCCACTCGCTCCGCACGGCCGCCTCCCCGGCCTCCGGCTCGCCAGTTGCATTTCAACATTTATTTTCGTGCTGCTTTCTCCCGTGACATAAGTTATTGAGAAGAGGTCAGACGCCGTGGGCCCTCGTCTCTGCCCCGCCCCGCCCCACGCCACCACCTAATTTATTGCTGTACAGGTCGCCTCTGTGACTGCTTTTCTACCTTCGCAATAAACAGTTTGCTGTCCACTCGCTTCTGTGCGGGGCTGGAATCCTGCGTCCTGAGCACCGGGCAGGCCCCGGCCCCCCTCCCACAGCCTTGCTTCCCACTCCCAGTGTCCCCACCACCCAGGTCAGCCATAATCCTGGCCCCCTGGGGCTTGGGGACAGCACAGGGTGGCACCATCTGCCTGCACACCTGGCTCGGGTGGACTCCTGAACCTGCAGCCCACCCTGACCACAGGCCTCGGACAGTCGGTGCGGCCTCTGCTCTACACCTGGGAGCTTTAGTGACCTGAGCCGTCTCCTCCCCACCAGGCCCCTCACCCAGCTCTGGACACTGAGGGACAGGGTCTATGTGGAGCAGTGGCCTGAAGCTGAGGGCCTGACTACATCCGGGGCCTGCCGGGCACCTGACTGGATGCCATCTTTTGGGCCTGGTGTTCTGTGGTGAACAGGCCATACCTGCCGTCCTCAGGGGCAGACGGGGCAGCTTTTGTCCGTGGCCTTGGGAGGGCCGAGCTCACAGAGTGGCCTCTTGGGGTTGCAAACCTGCTGGCCCTCCCCCTGTCCCTCCTTCCAGCCTGTTCTCTCTGGGGAAGATGCACAGGACAGTCCCTGGCACAGTGGAGTCAAGTCTGCCGGGGCCACAGCGAGCTTGGGACACCAGAAATGGCAACAATAAGAGTCCCCAGCTAAGTCAGTCCTCCCTGCAGCTGACCCTGGCTTGGGAGGTCAGGTGCCCCAGGGTGGTGGGCAGCCGTGGTGCCAAGCTTGGACACCCATAGTCCTGGCCCAGGATCTTGGCTGCAGGCCTTCAGGGTGGGGGCTGTGTACAGAGATCCCACCGACCTGGACCATTTCACAGATGGGAACACAGAGGCCAGGAAAAGCCGGCCCTGTCTACACAGCAGCCTCCTCGGACCCTGCGGGGTGAAGCTGTAGTTAGGGAGCCCCTCGTTCGTCAGCGGCAATGACCCTGAAGCCCCTCTGCCTCCCGACACCCCTTCCATGTGCCCACATTCCCCACGGGGAGCCACTCTGCTCCACCTGCCCGTGGCCAGAGCCCTTCCTTGGTGCCACATTCTGGCCGCTTGGCTTTGTGTCCTGTCACAGGGAAGCAGGGCCTGTCCACAGGTGCAGGTGCGCACGGAGGAGTGGGTGGCAGGAGGAGAGCGGACCTTGGTGCGTCCACCCCTGCTGGCTCTGTGACCTTGGGCAACTTTCTGGACCTCTCTGGACTTGCTCACCTCCCCCAGCAGCCACAGGAGTCTGTATGTGGGCTCCTGGCACACGAGGGTGCCCAGCAGACGCCAACTTTGTCCCCTCCCTAAGATGCAGGCCCCAGTGCTGTCATGAGTGACTCTGCCCTGGAGCCCACATGGTGTCTGGGATTTTAGGAGAGGGTCCCTTGCCCACTTGCCCTCTGTACATGGCTCTGGGCATCTGGGAACCAAGGGTGGCCCCTCCAGGGAAGGGCCAGGCAAGGCACTGCCAACCAGGCCCTGGCCTCCCTCGCCCATCCACAGGGCCCGGCATGGCCAGAGGAGCCTCCTGGGTTGGCAGATCTCAGGGAGCACTGGTCTCTCCTGCCCTGCTGACAGAGTGGGCCATGGGGCCACCGTGTGGGCCTGCCGCTGCTGTGCAGGGGGCGATAAGGACTGGGGCAGGGGGGCTCTTTCCAGCTGGGTGTGGGGAGGAGCCCAGCCTATCTTATCAGGCAGCCCAGCTGGGCCCAGCAGAAGCCACCAGCCTTGAGTCCCTGTCCCTGGGCTCAGGGAGAGAGAAGGTGGGAGTGACCACCACAGTGGCTGACACACTGCTGGTCACTCAGCTATGGCCCAGCTGAGTGTCTGAGTTCCTGGGCGGGTCTCCCTCTTCTCCCTGTGACCTGGGCACAGGCGACCAGGCTGGCGGGGTGGGCGGGACCTGCTGTCCCTGGGTGGTGCCCGCCAGGCCTTCCTGTCTGCCGCGCCTGCCTGGCCAGCCAGGCTCCGCTCCCCACGCCCTGACCCTGGCGTGCCTGTGCTACAGGACCCAGACTTTTGCCCCGTGACCCTTCTTCCTGGGACGTCCCTGTAGGGAGACACCCTCATGCCAAAGGCCCAGTTCCCAAGGTCACCATCCCTCCAGCCCCGAGGCAGGGCCTTCTGAGGCTCAGCTCTGGGTGTCAGCCCACCTGGCACAGGGAGGAAGAGGGGGACAGAAAGCTCCTACAGCCGAGTCCCCTGTGTCAGCCACTTAGGCTGAGCCTCGTCTGACTGCAGCAGCGCGAGGTGGACATGAGGCTCTGAGGTCCTGCACGGCTCTGGCCAACGCCATGGGCAGTTATCTCCGGCAGCTCCCTGGGCCACCCGCCTGCCCCGGCTGTCACTCGAGTCCCAGCCCTACAGGACCTGAGTCCGACAGGCATTAGAAAATCCAAGGTGTTTATCTATAAATAAAGCTCTCCCTGGGAGCAGCAAGTCGCCGGCCGGCCTAGCAAGGCTCGCCTTCGTTCTGTGCAGGTGACCTCACCAGGCCTCCCATGGCTGGAGTGTGTGAAGCAGCAGTGGCCTTCCCCATGGGCCAAGGTGACCACAGTGAGTCCTCAGCTCATGGCGCTGGATGCCCAGTTCTCCCTGCCCAGGATCTATCTGTCCATCTGGCCACCTGCCTGCCGCGTGCAGGAGTAGCCAATTCTCAGCTCCTCTGGGGCCTGTGTGACTCCAGAGACCACACTCGTGCCCTGCCCCACCGTGGCCACCTGCAGCCAGTGGCCAGGAGATCCAGTCTTGTCTGATGTACCCTGGTGGTGGCCCACGGGCAGCCTGATCCCTGACAGGACACAGCATGGAGCTCACAGGAGCTCTTGAGACACAGGCTGGACCTTTGGCTGGTGGACGGGCCCTGTCCTTCCCCAGCGGCCTGGGCAAGCTGGATCCCCAGCCAGACACGTGGACCGAGCCCCGCTACAGGTCCTCCGAAGGGATCAACATCCGCTTCTCCACGTTCCGGCTCCTCCTCCCCCCACTACCGCTGCCAGCTGTGCCAGGGTGGGTGCCAGGCGAGGGGTGGTCCCCCTGCCTGGGCCCCGGGGCCTCATGTGTGGCCTGCTGCGTGTACTGCTGGTAGGCGGGGGAGAAGTTGTGGATGGCGTCCTGCACGATGTCCTGCGGGCTGACAGTCTCCTTCAGGCCACTGGATATGCTCTGCATGGGTGCCGGGGGACCTGGGGGTGGGTGGCACAGGGTCCAGAGTCAGGGGCTCCATGGAACTCATTGTACGCTCCGTCCCAGAGACATGGCCACTTAGTCCCGCCTCCCAGTCCACCTCAGGCTAGCCCAGGCAGGGGCTCCTGTATATCCAGGCCCTGACCCTGGCTAGCAGGTGACCCCCAGGGCCCTGAGCCCCAGCCCAGCTCCTGCACCCCAGCTCTGACTCTGGGGCCCCATAGATCCCCTGAGGGGTTCTGGGGAGACATCATGGGCTGACCAGGGTGGACCCTTCACTCTCTTGGCCATTCAGCACCAACCAGGTGGGAGACAGGCAGCCCCAGGCCACCAGGCCACCGACCCACTCACCAGGGATGCCAGCCCTGCCCCTCCCAACACCCTGAGCAGAGGGGCCTCTGGCTGGGTCCTGGTCCCTGTCCCACCCTGTCTACGCAGCTCAGATGGCCATGGGGATGTCCTCCCCACCCAGCCATGGTCACCCCAGGGCTCACCTGGAGCGCTCTCCTTCTTCTCTGCATACACCTGGCAGGTGAAGGCGTAGCGCAGGGCGACAGAGGCGAAGAGCATCTCAATACAGATGAGGAAGTTCTGGTAGCCGGCGGCCAGGGTGCCGGCCCCCACCCTGGTGCCATCGATGGCCTGGACCTCAGGGATGACCCCACACCTCTCCAGAATGGCCAGCAACATCCCTGGGGATGGCAACGGCCACTCAGGAACCAGCCCTGGACTGGAGGCTGCAGGTGACCCCTGCCACGAGGCCTAGGGCTGGCAGGGGTCTGTGTGTGGGGGGGGGACCAGGCTCCCCAACCCCCAGTGGCTCCTCTGACCAGTCTGGGACGTCCTGTCCACGAGGACTTGTCCTGTGGCTGAGGCTCAGATTCAGAGGGGATGGGGGCCTCCAAAGCCGGGGTCCCTGAGTGCCTGCCCAGGTTTGGGGTTCACCCCAGCTCCTGCAGCCTTCACGGGAGGGACTAAGTGCTCCGGCCTGCTGGGACCTCGTGTGACCCCACCTGGACCCCCGAGGGACTTCTCTCCACTGGCCACAGGACTGGAGCTTACTGAGTCCCCATGCCTGGGCCCTACTGACTTAGAGTGGACCTGTGCTGGGGAAACTGAGGCATGATTGAACCCGGGTTCCCTGGACCCCATCCCATGGCCCACACACCCTGCCAGAAAGAGAGGAAGATGAGCGCCTTGATGGTGAGGAACTTGAGGACTGGCTCGAAGGGCCGCAGGAGCTCTCTGGTGGCGAAGTAGAAGAGGAAGAGGGCGTAGAGGGCCAGGCTGACCGAGGCGTTGTACACCAGGGTCACGTACAGGTAGCCGCTGTGGATGCTGCGCCAGAGGAGCTGCTGGTCAGGGGGGGTCCATGCGCGGCCAGACACGTGGGGCCAGCCTGCCTGTCCCTTCCCTAGCTGGGCAGTCCTCCTTCCTGGGCCGCCAACCACACGGAGGGGAGCGGGCCTCCCGGGACCCACTGGACAGGGCACCGTGGACAGCCCTCCCCTGCAGAGCCCCAGCAGCACTGCCTCCTGTCCCCTCCCCTCCTGAAGCCTGGCCGCCCTGCCTCCACCTTACTTGAAGTCCCCGTCGTTGTACTTGTCGAACGCCTGCAAGATGATGGTGGTCACGGCCATGACCGGCTTCACAATGCAGAACTGCAGCGTGGCCTGGGGGTGGGCGGGGCCGTGAGGAGGACACTGGCGGTGGACGCAGGGGGCGGAGCGGGTGGGGCAGGGAGAAGTGGGCGGGGTTGGAGGGGGCGGGGCGGGCACAGTGGGCGTGGCGATGAGTGTGACGGGGTGGGTGGGGCGGACAGTGGGCACGGCTGCAGAGTGGGCGGGACAGACGATGGGCGGGGCAGCAGATGGAGTGGGCGGGGTGGTGGGCTGGGGCCTGGACGGGGTGTGTGGGGGCGGGCGGGGCGGTAGAGTGAATGGGTGGGGCGGTGGGCGGGACCGTGAACGGAGTGGGCGGGGCCTGCGGGGTGGGCGGGGCCTGGGTGGAAAGGGCGGGGTCTGGACGGAGTGGGCGGGGGCGGAGGGCGGGGCCTGGACGGAGTGGATGGGGGCGGAGGGCGGGACCGTGAACGGAGTGGGCGGGGAGGTGGGCGGGGCCTGGGTGGAATGGGTGGGGTCTGGACGGAGTGGGCGGGGCCTGGGCGAAAAGGGCGGGGTCTTGGCGGAGTGGGCGGGGCGGGGCCTGCGGAGCGGGCGGGGCGGCGGCCGAGGCCCCTCACCTGCTTGCAGAAGCGCAGGAAGCCGATGGAGTAGGACATGCCCTGGAGGCAGCAGGTTCCGTAGAAGCAGCTGGACCTGGGGGAGGAAGTGGCTGAGGCGGCTGGGGGGGACCCAGTCGGTCCCCAGCGCAGCCTGGCCTGTCCTCAGGTGTGGGGGGCTTACTTGATGGGCTTGCCCCGGATCTCAGCCATGATGGCACTCTCGCCCCCCAGGTACTGGAAGCAGAGGCTCAGAAAGCTGTAGATGACAAAGGCTGCGGGGGACAGGGGAGGCTGTGTGAGTAACCGGGCCCCATCGGGCTGCGGGTCCCCCCGAGGGCCCTGCGGTCACCTTCGTAGCAGTCGCGCAGCGAGTCGAAGTAGACGTAGTACTGGTGGCCTCCCAGGAGGAGGAGGCTGAGCCAGGAGTCCAGGGCGTAGATGGGCACGATGAGCAGCAGGCGGAGGATGTAGCGCTGCTCCAGCGGCACGGTGTAGGAGCGCAGGTGCAGGTAGATCTGGGGGTCAGGGGTCGGGGTCAGGGGTCGGGTCACCCCCGCGCCCCGTCCTCCTGGCCTTCTCGGGAGCACTTCCCTACTGCAGTCCCATGCACTCTGCGCGAGGCACGGCTCATGCGCTCGTGTCTGACTGAATCACAGATTTAAAGTTTGTTATTCGCTGATTTATTTTCAGGGCTGGGCAGTGGACCCAGGGCCCAGGCCATGCCAGGCGATCGCTGTCCCAAGTTACTTCCCCAGCGTCTTAAACGTGGATTCTTTGTGTGCGCGTGGTGCTGGAGTTTAAACTCAGGGCCTATTGGGAGCTCAGGAATTATTGGCCTGAGGCTGGCTTCGAACCACAATCCTCCTGATCTCTGCCCCCTGAGGGCTGTGATGTCACTCTTGCAGCACTGTAATTTACAATGTCCCCTTGGGCATGGGACAGGGCTCTGGCCAACATGCAGGCGCTGCTCATTTATTCATTCGCTCAACAAGTTTCCTGGGCCCGGCTAAGTGTCAGACCCTCCATGGTGGAGGGTTAGCACGGGGAGGAATATTATACAGTCAGTAAAACTACGCTCAGAACTGGCAGTGCTCGTAGGATGTGACACCAAGAACCAGGATAACAAACCGAACGTGGCAATGCCTTGTAAAAACATGCTCAACAGCTTAGCTCTGGGTGGTGGGAAACACGGTTCATATAAACCTTTGTGCGTTTCCCGTATTTTCTACTAGGATGTGACAGAATAGGGATGGGGACTTGCCAAGGAAGGGGGCCGTAAAGGATGCATGGTCTTCAGTCCAGCATGCTGTAGGGCTGGCTCCCTGGGGGAGGTGGGGGAGGCCATGCTGGGTGAGTAGGGACAGCGTGGCCAGGCTGGGGGGGGGGTGTGTGTGACGGCTGCTGGCATCAGGCCTGGCTCTTATCGGCACGGCCTCTCCTGACGAGAGGACATGGCATGACCAGCCGTCAAGGGACCTCTTGGGGCTGGCACAGCCTGGCTGGTGACCTTGGCAAGCCACTTCCATCTTGCCCTGTTTCCCTGTATGTACAGTGAGGGGTCTCACCCCTCTCTGTCCAGCTGGGCTCTAAGGGGTCCTCACAGGTGATGGGCTGGGTCGTGGCTTGGGGGTGGGAGACCCAGGGATCTTCAGGGCCAGCCACAGCCACACACACAGCTGATCCCCAGGGTCCCAGCTTAACTGCTGTCCTCCCTAGTGGCCTTAAGTAGAAGCCAGCCTCATGCTGCCTCTGCATCCTGGACCCTGCCTGGCCTGCCCTCAGCCAGCCTCCCTCCAGCCTGTGTCCGCCCCCCTCCCCGCCCCAGGCCACATCTGGACACGCACCGCCCAGCTCGTGGCTGTGGAAGAGGGGTATCTGTTCTCACGGCCTGCCTCAGTGGCCCGTATGCCAGTGTCCTGCCCAGCCACACCCAGCCCAGGAGCCGTCCCGGGGGCACCTAGGTCTCAGCTCCCCAGCGCCCCTCCCCCACCAGCTAGACACCCCGCCCCCCGCCCTTGACCTCCGGCCAGGCAGCCGTGGCTGGCACAAGACTCCCACCTGCACCTGGCCTACCCAAGGACGCCTGCCAGGCACGGGAGTCAGCCTGTCCGCGTACTGAGGACACTAGTGCCCCCAACTCTGTGGTCCCCATGTACAACTGCCGAGCTCGGGTGCCCCTGCTTGCCATACCCTGACTCTTCCTGGTTACAGGGTCCACCAGCTCTCTCCCTAGGGAACTGTCCTGTCCCCCACCTGGTGACTGCTCAGCCCAGCGGCTTGTGTGCTTAGGGCTCAGGGTTCAGAGCATGGCTTTTCTCACCGCCGCCATATGAGGACCAGCCCACCAAGAGCACTGCCCCGTCCAGCCAGGCTCCGACCCTGCTGCTCCCTGGCCCCCATCCTCCCGACTCCTATCCCCAGCATCCCGTCGCCCCCGGCTCCCTGACCCCAGCCCTTGTCCTCCTACTTCCCTGTCCTCCAGTCTCCTGCCCAGTTCCCTGCCGCCGAGTCCCCTGCCCCACCAGCTCCTGCCGCCCCCATCCTGGTCCCGTGTCCACTAGCTCCTGGCCCCAGTCCTCTGCTCCCCAGTCCTGTGCCCGCTCCCCCAGCCCCCCAACGCCCTCTCCTCCCTTCCCCACCTCCCTGATGTCTGTTTACTGCCTGAAGCTTCCTAGAGCAAAGTCCAAGCCTCACCGGTCTTGTCCCAGACGCCTGGCTCTGGAGGGAGAAGACCCTTTCTCCTCCCGGCTACCGCATGTCCATGGGAAAGAGGGACCCTGGTCTCTCTGAGCCTCAGGGGTCTTATCCGTGAAATGGGGCCCATGGCTGATCTCAGCAAGCAGCATGAGGAGCTGAGGAAATCCCGGTGGTCCCCAGCCAGCCCGGAGGAGGACTCCTTCCTTCAGGCTGGCTCCCACAGGCATGTCCTGGAGACAGGCCTCATCGGTCCCCAGGCTCACACCACCCCCAAGACCCTGATCGCCATTCCTCTGGTCCAGATGGACCTTGCTGTCCAGTACTGAGGGTCACTTGAGGCCTCACCATCCCAGAAGCAGCCAGTGTGGCAAGCTGAGCTGTTTCGGGTCCCCAGAGGCTAAGGTGGGAGGCTTACCTGGTGACAGGTCAGTGCCAGGGCCGTCCACACGAAGAGGCCTGAGATGCCCCGGGCCAGGGCGCTGGTGAGGAAGAGCCGGGTGGCTCCCTGAGAGCCATTCTCCACTCGGTCCATCTGTGGCCCGGCCGGAATCACGGGCATGGCGGGCGGGGTGCTGGGCTGTGGCCAGGACTCAGATGCCAGGGGGACCCCGGCTGTCCCCAGGAGCGTGGAGACGTTACTCATCTGGGGAGGTGCGGGGACACGGTGTGAGAGAAGGGCCAAGGGGCAGGCTCACAGGGACGCCAGGAGAGGCGGAGGGAGGGAAGGAGGTGGCTGCGTGGGGGACACCAGCAGCTGGCTCTGTCAGGCTGTGCCCTCCACAGGGCCTCCACCCAGACGTGCAGGCGGCAGGCCTCTGCCTGTCCACTCTCCCTGCCCCCGGCTCCCCCGAGGCTTCTCTGGGCGTCCGGAAGCACACCCCGTAGGAGTTTGGGGCTGACCATCCCACCCCTGTCCTGACCCTGGGCAGCCCTTGGCTTCTCCAAGTACCGGGGTCCTTGCTGTGGGGCCCCAACCTCCCGGGCTCAAGTCTCAGCTGCTTGTGTCCTGGGGAGCCCCTCTGTGTCCCCCACGTACAGCAAACCCCACCTCCGATGCCCTGGGCCTTTGGGGAGCTTGAGTTTTGTACCCCGTCACCGTGTGGGAATGGGGGGCCCCGCCCTGCCTGCTTGGTGTCTGGAAAGAGGCGCAGATAGAAAACGCAGCCCACCACCCTGCCGGCCCCACCTGTGCAAGCGCGTGCAGTGCTGCCTTGGGCCGTGTCGCTGGCCACCTGCCGCCTGCCTGGTGGCACCAATGCTTGCTTAGCCTTTCCACAAGCCGCAGGGCCCCGGCTCATCCCTTGGCACCCTGGCAGCCCTGTCTGTCGTCCTCACCGCCCTCCAGCGGGCGGTCAAAGGGTGCAGCACCTACCTCCGTGGGCAGGAAGCTCTGAGGCCCAGCCTCTGCAGAGGCCTGGCTGGTCATTCACGCGACCATGTGATCCTCACTGGCAGCCCACCCGGGGGTGGGGCAAAGCAGCTATCTGGAGAGCGGTACCAGGCCCCAGCAGGACAGGCAAGGCCTCACCTGGCCAGTGGCCCATCGGGGCTCCCGGCAGCAGGGAGGGGCTGGGAAGGGAGGAGGAGCCCAGGTGTCCCCTCCCCTGTGGACACTCTATCTCTTTCTGGCTGTTTGCTCAAGGCAGCTGGCTCCCAGGCACCTGCTGGCCGCCAGGTGCCCTCACCTGTGCGGGCCAGATGGCCAGGCAGCGGCTGCAGGCAGGGACAGGGTGGAGGGGTCTGCAGCGGCCTGTGCTGGGGAAGATGGTCCGAGCTCATGGGCACAGTTCTTTTGGGGGATGAGAAGGTGGTGGTTGTACATCATGGATGCCCTCAATTGTTCACTTAAAAATGTTTTTTTTTTTTTGCCGGTGCTGGGAATTGAACCCTGGCCTCGAGGATGCTAACAGCCCCTCCTGCCGGGAGCCACCCCACTGTCCTGCAACTGATGTTTACTTGGGTCTGAAGATGGAGCTCATGCCTGTGTCCTCCAGGTCCCCTAGCACCCCTGGAACAGAACCCCCACTCCAGCCCCCACTGCCCGGTTGACTGACCCCGCCTCACTGCGCTGAGGACCGAGGCTCCCTAGGGAGGCGGGGTTGGGTAGATGCTCGCCCACTCCTCACCTGGCTTTAATGGAGGCACAGCATCCTGACCAGGTGGCAGAGACCCCTTCCCCACTCACAGCTAGGGCTGTGGAGGTGAGAAGGGGGCTGGGGCTTCTGTGGGGACACTGCTGGGCTTGCTGCCCCAATGCTGGGGACCTGGGACCATCTTCCTTTGTCCCTGGGGAGGATTTGTCACCACACGGCCTTCCCAGGATTCCAGACACCAGTACAGCACCACATGCTAGGGGGCGGCGGGAGGGCAGGAAGGAGCCAGGCTGGGCCACTCAGGCACCATGAAGAGCCCTGTTGAGGTACGACCGTCCTCAGGGAGGACAGAGGACAGGCTGGCCTGCCTCACCCGTACAGGTGTCACGGCCCACACCCACTCAGGAGAGGTGGCCAGGCAAGCTAGGCTTGATCTCTCCCTGGCAGGACAGACCTGCCTGCCCAGATCTGGGCAGTGGGGCTGGTGACCACTGTTTACTATGACCAGGAGCCGGTCCTGGCAAATAGCAGGCCCAGGTGTGCAGGAGCTGCAGGGAGGGGAAGCTGCTGCCTAGCCTGTCCTACACCTGTGCCCTGCGTCCCCACCCTGGCGTGTGGCCCCCCAGCCTGGCTCCCACTGCAGGCTGGTCAGGGATGTGCCCCGCCGGCCATCTCCCCCAGAGTGGAGAGTGGGGTCGGGCTTCGCCCTGTCCCCTTCTCTGCTGTGCCAGTTGTCCCCACACTCCAAAGCGACTTCCAGCCCAGCCCTGGGAGCCACCTCCCCTGCCCGCTAACTGGCTGGGTTAACAGGACCCACTGGGCCCTGTGGAGGGGGCCAGGTGACATCCCTGACACCCTGACTCCCTCCGGGACCTCCCCTGCTGAGTGCCCAGCGGAGGGGCAGGTCAGTCTACACGATGGCCCTGACCCAGCTATCGCCCACACCCTGGGGTGTGGCCGGGCAGGGACAGACAAGGACTCCCTGCTGGCCAAGGCCAAGGTGCTCTGCTAGTCACAAGCATGGGGTGGAGCAGGGACAGGCAGTGGCTGGCTCTGGGTCCCATGCGCCCAGCACAAGTGTGCAGGCTGTGGATGGCCCGGTGACAAGGTCAGCCAGGTTGCCCTCTATCGTGGGGACCCTGGAGACACCAGTTCCCTCCTTCTGGGTCTCCTTCCAGCCCCATGTTTGGGACCCCCATCCCTGGGGCAAACTCACTGTCTGGGAGTCCACCCACAGCAAGGGGACAGCATTGGCTCCTGGTGGCCGGTCATGCAGCTCTCACCTGGACAGGAAGCACCTCCACAGCCAGGAGGGCAGGCACTGGCCTGGGCTCAGGCCACCCTTGGAGTCCGGACCTCAGGCACTGTGTGCTGACTCGTACCTCAGTTTCCTCAGGCAATCTGAGCCTCCATGTTGGCTGCACAGGTCAGCCCGCTCAGTGAGGAGGCTCTGTGGGCTCCTGTCACCCGCTCCTCTCAGCACAGCCAGCCGCTGCAGCAGGGACTCCAGGACTCGGGGTCCAGTGGCTCAGCTGGCCTGGTGTCTGGCGGCCAGGTGAGGTGCAGAGGTGTCCACCTGTGGGCTGACTCAGCTCTGCCTGTGTCCATTGGCCGCAGACCCCAGAGTGGGCTGTCCTGGTTACATGGGGTGCTGTTCCCCACCGTGGGTCTCTGTCCTGCCAGCTGGCCCTCGCCTCACTGCTCCAGTGCCTGCCTCCTTCCCCAGAGAACTTGCCAGGGCCTGTCCTGGACCAGCCTGAGACCCTTGTGGTGACCAGCGGTACCGTGAGGCCAGCAGGGGCCATCTGGGGAGGACATGGTCGGGGAGAGGGGTATGATTCTCAGATTTCCAGAAGTGGGGTTTTCCCCACCCCATGGGAGTCACAGGACCCCGGATCTGGACACCGCACTGCCACCGTGCAAGGCCCCTCACGCATGTCCTCCCACCTCCCCAAGGTCTGGACCACTAGCAGGGCCCGCTGGACAGGTGGGCAGCTTGGTTTTCGAGACGCTTTGCAGCCTCCAGGCCTGGGAGGGGGCCGTAGGGGGTTCCACAGGCAGCAGGAACCCCTGTGACCTGCAGCCCTCTGCTGCCCCTCCTCACAGGGGCTGGGGCAGACTGGGTCCCTTGGACACTGTTGCTGCTGCCCGAGCACTGGCCTCTCCCAGGCCAGAAACTCCTCCCAGTCTCACCTGCTGAAGCTGCCTCCACAGGCCCCGAGCCCACCACGCCCACCATCAGGCCTGAGCCTAAGAGTCGCTGACATCTGGGTAGATTTGTGGCCGTGGACCACGTGGGTGGCACAGCGTCCCTCTGGTCCTGCATGTACTGAGGAGTCAGGGGTCTTCCTCTAGCCCTTCCCTGTCCGTGCGGCCTCCTCTTTCTCCTTTGGGCTCTTCATCCCTGGAGAGCCTGAGGGAGACTTGGGACAGGCGTCACCGCCAGCTCTGACCACAGGCAGCAGGAACAGGTGACCGTGCTGAGGGCCTTCTGTGGGCCGAGGGACAGTGTTGAGGTTTGGAAGCAGCTGCAGGTGTGCGTGTGGACTGTGGCGAGAAGGGGGTCCTGGGACCCCGCCTGTGCCACCTCTCTGCGGGGCGGCCTTCATCTGCCCGTCTGGAAAGTGGGCGCAGTGCCCCTCGTCCTCCGGGTGGCTGTGCGGGTTGGAGGTGGACGTTGGCAGACCAGGTGGCCAAGTCCCGGCTGTGGCGTTCGTGAAGTCTACAGAACGTCTTCTTGCACTGCCTCCTCTGTCCTTCCAGCCGCCCCCTCCCAGGCCCTGGCATGATGCGATAGTCTGTCCTCATCCTCTGAGCTGTCACGTCTGTGCGGGGACAGGGTCAGGGCTCTGTGCCGCCCAACCAGGGCTCTTGAGATGCTGAGTTCACATAGGACACATCGCCACGTGGTGCCTGGCCGCTGTCACCTTGCCTTGGACATGCTGGGGTCCCAGTCAGTCCTCGTCAATGTGACCCGGCTTGGGCTTATTTCTGAAACCCCCCCATGTCCCCCAGGCTCCAGGGCCTGTGATCCACTTCCAGGATTTGTGAATCCTCACTTCCGGCCAAGGCAACCTTCGCTCCACAGACGGGGTGATGCCGAAGTACCAGCCAGAATGATGGTGGCTCTGCAGCCATCTGCACACCACGAGGCCCTGACCTCGCCATGGCAGCACTCGCCACCCACCCGTGCTCCTCTCCCGATTCTCTTTCCCTTATTTTGGTGGCACTGGGATTTGAACTCAGGGCCTCATGCTTGCAAGGCAGGCAACTCTCAGCCCCTCTGCCAGCCTTTTTGTGATGGGTGTTTAGAGACAAGGTCTCCTGACTACTTCCTGGGCTGGCTTTGAACCGTGCTCCTGACTGATCTCTGTCTCCTGACTAGCTGGGATCACAGGCGTGAGCCACCGGCCCCCAGCTTCCTCTCCTGATTCTATTTCACTCCTGCGCACTAAGGAAACCAGCCATGGCCAGCCCACTTGTCCTGAGCGCCACAGGCTCCTTCTGCAGGGTGTCCTAACAAAACAACTTACGGGGATCAGGGTTTGGTCAGGCCCTGGCTAGGCTGCCTGAAGTGCCCACCAAGATCAGCTCCTCAGTCCCCCTGACATCATGGTGCACACGTGCCCTCAGCTGGACAGGGCCACAGCCCATGTCCACTTGGGAGAGGGGAAGGGCATGGGGAGACCGCAGCTCAGCGGCTCGCTGGTGGACACACAGCGGTGGTCCAGAGGTGTGGCCTGGGAAAGGACGGGTATTAGCAGTGCTCATTATTTACAAAATTCTAATTACAGTTTAGTGGCCAGGCGAGTGACACATGCATCCCCGCCCTGTCCCGGGAGTCACCACTTCCCCGCAGCAGACAGCCCAGCCCTGCCCGGGGACCCCGAGGCTCCATGGACCTCAGCTTCCCGAATTACAACAGCTGGGGGCACAGGGGAGCAGGCCAGGCACCACGTCCAGCCTGAGTCCAGCCGAGGGCCTCATTATGGTGTGGACCCAGCAGGAGGTGCAGGCGTGGGTGACGAGGGCGTTTCACAGCTGTGAGAAGTCTGCCTTAAAAGTCAGGCTCAATTACAGGCCAGGGTCAGGACCGTGAGGCAGGTGTCCTCTGGGCTGTGGGGCCAGGCAAATGACACCTGTCGGCCATTCTGACCCTGGCTCCCCCTTATCTTGCAGCATCTCAGGGCACCTCCCGACTTCCTGAGCCTCCACTACCGATGCCGCCACTTATCTAAGAGGCCCCAAAATGAAGAGCTTGAACCAAACCAGACAGAAGCCTCGAGGCAAAACCAGGCCTGGCACTGAAACAACTGTCAGGTCCGCCAAGTGGGTGGGGTCACTGAGGCCCGGTGGCAGGGGTGGCGAACAGGGCGCTGCCTGGGCTCAGATCCCAGCTCCTCCTCAGGAAAGGCTCCACAGCCTCTGTGCATTTCCTCGTCTGGAAAACGCAGACGCGAGCAGTGCTGCTGCAGAGGCTGGACGTGTCACCAGCGAGCCTTTTCAACCAAATCAGAGACCCAAGTGCAAATGGGAACCTGGACCTTGCCCTGAGCCCAACCCAGACTCCGTTTCTTCATCCACCAACACCTGATTCTCAGGTGACGAGTACGAATTACAGGCTGTTACAGGACAGGGCCCTCTGCCCCAGTGCTGCTCTAGGGCACTGATCTGAGGATGGCACACCCCGCGGTCCTTCCCAGAGGTGGCCTGACTGCACACCCCGCGCCTGTCCTCCCTTCTTCTTTGAGGTCTGAGACTCATGCTGGTCCAGCCCTGAGGCTGCTGGCAGGTTCCACAGGAGTGTGGAAGAGGGGAGGCTGCTGGGCCGGCCATGGGAGCCACCAAACTGCAACGCCAGCCTACCCAGGGGATGCAGAGGGGACAGGGATCTGTAGGACGGACAAAGAGGCCTGGAAGTGCTTGGGCTGAAGGTCCTGACTGCCAGGGCTGGGTTAGGAGCCACTGGTGGGGAGTGGCCTGGTGGGTCCCTCTCACTTCCTCAGCTGGTGTGTAGCCTTCACACCTCTTCCAAGGAGTCAGCCAGGATTTCCACAAGGACTGTCATTCTCCTGGAATTTTGAGCTTACACATCCCCTGGACGACACACTGGAGAGACCAGGAGCGACACATGGGCAGGGAAACAGGGCTCAAGCACAGAGCGGGCACTCGGCCTGCAGAAGGAATGAGCCTCAAGGCCACTCAGTCTTCTAGTCTCGCTCTAAGCACAGCAGTGAGAGAGCACACCTGCCCACCTCCTGTCCTAGGAAGCTTCCTGAAGGTAGGACCACAGGGCCTTGGGTTCAGAGAAACGGATAAAACACTCCTTCCTGGCTTCACGAGCACACGGCATTAGGCAGGCACAGCATTTGCTCGTTCTTGGCTCTGCTGTGTGACCTGCACACCCGACCCAACCCCAGCCAACTCTGCTTCTCACTGGAGTCTGCAGTGCACCAGCTTCAGAACTCCCAACTCGGGTGCCATCAGCCACACATCACTGGCTGGGGCAGGAGGGGGGAGCCTGGGGTCCCAAGCTATCACTCCTGAGGCTCGGGAACCCACAGGCCGACTCTGGGACACAAACAGCCTGACCCTGGCCATGCCAATCCTTGCAAACACTTCCATGGAATTATTTCCAAAGCACAGATCCAACCGGGAGAAGTCCATACCTATAACCCATCTACTCAGGAGGTGGAGATACAGAAGGTTGAGCCTGGGCAAAAAAAGTTAGCAAGACCCCATCTCAACCAAAAAGCTGAGGGTCGTGTGTGCATCATTCCAGCTACACAGGAGGATCGTGGTCCAGGCCAGACAAGGAAAAAGCACGAGACCCTATGAGAAAAATAACTAAAGAGTCAGGCACTGGTGGCTCACGCCTGTAATCCCAGCTACTCAGGAGGCAGAGATCAGGAGGATTGTAGTTCAAAGCCAGCCCCAGGCAAACAGTTCGTGAGACCCTATCTCAAAAAAAGGACAGGTGGAGTGGCTCAAGGTGAAGGCCCTGAGTTCAAACCTCAAAAGTGCAAAAATAAATCAACAAAGCATTTTTGCCGGGGTTGAGGATCAAGGGGTACGGTACCTGCCTGGCAGACGTGAGGCCAAGTTCAAGCTACAGTGCCATGCACCAAGCTCAGGAGCACTGCCTCAGCACAAAAGGTCCTCAACCTCCTGTCACCTCAAACTCCTGTCACGTCCAGCCATGTGTTAGTGACCCAACCACAGTGCTGCCTGTCCTGGTTGAGTCGGTCACAGGCAACCTCTGCACACGTCCTTCTCCCATTGTGCTGTGGCTCCCGAGGCCCGGCCTGTGTCCACAGTGACAGAACCAAATGCTGAGCGGAGCTGACACTGAGGGTCACGGCAGAGGAGCACGAAGACACATGGAAGAAAGAAACCACACCACCCACACCTGGGACTCGTCCGTCAGCCTCAGACCACACCGCTGCCACCACAAAGCCACCTTCCACCGAGGCGCTAAACTGAACTTAGGCTGTTGTCAGCGTCGTTAGGGGCACTGATGTATTTGAAGAACACATATTTACTTTTATTAAAAAATAATCTCTGAGTGCTACTGCGCTCTGGGGGCCAGGAGCCACACCGGTTGACTCATCTGTCACTGAGACAGATGCACCCGTCCCTCTGAGAGCCACTCCCTGCTCCACCACCCGCCATGACAGTCACCACCTGCGGGCGTCTGCCCGCCATGTGATGTCTTTTCTGGCTTCGAAGGCTAAGGCACAGAGGCTCCTCCTGACTCGGAGGAGGGGTCTTGGATACCCTGGTAGGGGACCCAGCCTCCACCTGGTCCTGCTGACTGCAGGTCACCACACCTGGCACACCCGGATGACATCCTTCAAGGCCTTCAGCTCCTCCATGCTCTTGTCCTTCACGGCCAAGGCCAGGAGCACTGCTCTGTTTCCGGCTTCTTGGGACACAAATGCGACCAGGTTCTTTGCGAAGACGTGGATGAGAGGCTGGGGGGAAGGAAGAAACCATGGTGACCGTGGGAACCCTGGGTTTCCTTGGTGCTTTCCTAAGTGTCCCTCAGGGACCCTGACTGGCTTCCCACACCTCCACTAAGCCACTACTGGTACGCTCACCTCGACAGCGATTCAGAGCTCAGTGAGACGGCCCACGTGGCAGGCACCTCTACGTTCCTGTCCCTCCACTTATCTCTAATCTGGAAGGACTCACGGAAGACCAGTCTGCAGAGGCGGCACTGTCCAGGGTCACAAAGCATGGACAGCCACTCATGACCAGACGGCATCACGACAGGAAGTGTGTGTGCACAGGCGTGCGTGTGTGCAGGTGTGTACACGGGCGTGCAGGTGTGTGCACAGGTGTGCAGAGGGTCACGCAGGTGTGTGCACAGGTGAGCCCGCATGCAGGTGTGTACAGGGACGTGCAGATGTGTGCACAGGGGCGTGCAGGTGTGTACACGGGCGTGCAGGTGTGCGCACAGGTGTGTACACGGGCGTGCAGGTGTGTACACAGGTGTGCAGAGGGTAACGCAGGTGTGTGCACAGGTGAGCCCGAATGCAGGTGTGTACAGGGGCGTGCAGATGTGTGCACAGGTGTGTACAGGGGCGTGCAGGTGTGTACAGAGGTGTACACAAGCATGCAGGTGTGTGCACGGGTGTACAGGTGTGTGCACGGGTGTGTGCACAGGTGTGTACAGGGGCGTGTAGGTGTGTGCGCAGGTGTGCAGAGGGTCACGCAGGTGTGTACACAGGTGTACAGGGGCGTGCAGGTGTGTACACAGGTGCGCAGGTGTGTGCACGGGTGTACAGGTGTGTGCACAGGTGTGTGCACGGGTGTACAGGTGTGTGCGCAGGTGTGTACAGGGGCGTGCAGATGTGTGCACAGGTGTGTACACAAGCGTGCAGGTGTGTGCACGGGTGTACAGGTGTGTGCGCAGGTGTGCAGAGGGTCACGCAGGTGTGTGCACAGGTGTACAGGGGCGTGCAGGTGTGTACACGGGTGTGCAGGTGTGTGCACGGGTGTACAGGTGTGTGCACAGGTGTGTACACGAGCGTGCAGGTGTGTGTGTGGGTGTACAGGTGTGTGCACAGGTGTGTACACAGGTGTGCAGAGGGTCACGCAGGTGTGTGCACAGGTGAGCCCGCATGCAGGTGTGTACAGGGGCGTGCAGATGTGTGCACAGGTGTGTACAGGGGCGTGCAGGTGTGTACACAGGTGTACACGAGCCTGCAGGTGTGTGTGTGGGTGTACAGGTGTGTGCACAGGTGTGTGCGCAGGTGTGCAGAGGGTCACGCAGGTGTGTACACTGGTGTACACGAGCCTGCAGGTGTGTGTGTGGGTGTACAGGTGTGTGCACGGGTGTGTGCACAGGTGTGTACAGGGGCGTGTGCGCAGGTGTGCAGAGGGTCACGCAGGCGTGTGCACAGGTGAGCCCGCATGCAGGCGTGTACACGGGCGTGCGCACGCCGCCCTCCCTCACGGACACGCAGCCCGGGCTCTGTACCTCGTCCGGCCCGAGGAGGACCCGGGTGGTCAGCAGCGGCTGGCTGAGGTCGCCGCCCCCGCGGCCGGGCTCCAGCGACACCACGGTGCCCATCTTCCCGAACTGCGTCACCACCACCAGGATGTGGCTGCTGAAGGCGGTGCAGACCACCTGCGTGGGGACCCCGCGCACCACCTCCGCCTTCTGCTTGGACACCACCAGCGGCTTGTTTTCCATGGTCGCCGTCTTCAACTTAAAAAAAGCAAAAGGAACCAATCAATCCCAAACGAATGGCATCACACGACACAACGTCGGGACACAAAACGCGCGTTGTCAGCCGGGCCGGGCGGTCCCGCCTGTCATCCCAGCCCTGGGGGGGGGGGGGGGGGCGGAGGCAGGAGGATCCGAGTTCGAGGCCAGCCTGGGCGACACAGCGAGACGCCGTGTCCAAACGTTACAAAGGGTCTGTGCGCCCATACCGACCTCGCCTGGCGCCTTCCGGATGGACAGACGTCCACCCACCCGCGGGGGACACTGTCGCCGTCCCTTAGTTCAGGACACCCGGGTTCGGGGAGCCGCACCCGTACCCGCGGGACCCACGCTTACCGAGCACCCCCCGCACCGGAAGTGATTCACGCGCGCCTTCCCCGCAGGCTTCCACTTCCGGAAGTACACACCATAGACTTCCGGTTCCGGGCCGTTGGGAACCTGATCCGTGGGGGAACCAACTAAGTGAGCGACTTGGGTTCCGCCTGGCCGGAAGCGCTCTGAACCCCTAAACCAGGGCGTCGCTGGCGACCCCGCCCCAATCCCGGGCGGGTGCTGGAAGCCAGTGTGGGGCAGCCCAGCTGTGAGCTGGGCTAACGATGGTAGCTGTCACTCCGATGCCAGGCATTTTTGCAGAAGGCGATTTTGCAGAAACCCTGGGGTCCCATTTTGCAAGGGGATGGTCCGGTGCATGGCCCCGGCCCGGCCCCTGGCCCTCAGTGGCCCTCAGTGGCCCTCAGCCGAGGCGGGTGAAGGCAGGAGGCCCCTGCAGCCCCCAAAGCCCAGCTGGGTCCCACGCTGGAGGGTTTCCTGGCGGGACTGCAGCCTCCTCCGCGTGAAGGGCGCCGCGGGTCCTGTGAGGGGACGGGGCAGATGCAGGGAGCGCAGGGGTGGACGCGGTGCGCTGGGCCCGCAGGAGGCCCGCTGCTTCCACCGTGGCAGCCGAGGACGTGCGGCGTGGACGGTGTGGGCGGCTCTTGCACTCGGCACGCAGCGGGGTGTTAGGTGCAAACGTTAGGGCACCTTGGAGGCTTGCAGCCCACGCAGCCTGAAACCCGCCATGGCCCACATGACCCGCGCCGCCGCTTACGGAACTAGGGGGACGGTTTCTGGTTAATCTTGCTAAACGGTGGTGAGTCAATGAGTTGAGACACCTGGTGTTTACCAGTAGTCTTCAGGTAAGCTGGCCCCCGCCAGGATGTGGGAGATGCCAGAAGAATGTGACCCCAGGGGCCATAAAAATTGCTGTGTGACCGCGACTCATGTCTAAAAAATATAAAAGCAGCCTGAGTTTTGTATTCGGGGTCCTCGTTGAGACCCACTGCGTCGGGCGGACACCCGGACCCCAGCTGGCTGGAGATAAACCTCGCTTTGTGGCTTACGTTATCCTGAGTGTCTTTTTGTTCCTCTGAGGGGTGGTCAACCCCGGACCCCAATAGGGGAAGCTGAGGCTTTCCCGGCGCCAAACCCAACAAGGAGAAGGTGACCCGTGTCTCAGCCCCAGATTGAAGCACAAGTCTGTCCACCCGCGCCCCAGCCCAGCTGCCTGTGTGATTGCGGGAATCTCAGCTGAGACAGGGGACACTGAGGCAGTTTAGCCTTTACTAAGTTTAACGCTTTATTCTGCTGAACAGACCCAGGACTCTCGTGTCCACAGGCTGCGCCCGAGGACAAAGGGGTCTCCCCTGTGTCCCCCTGCAAGCAGGTTACAGAGGCAAAAGGCAAGGCCTAACCCACACGTGGTTACAGTAATTCTGTAGCCCCTTTACCCTAGGGGTGCGTGACTTCCCTCCGTGCTACCGACCCTCTCCCTGCTCAGACTCCTCAGGTTTTCTCTCTCTGCTCTGCCTTCCCTGGCTCCCTGCTGCTTTGTCAGGACTCAGGCCCAGCCTGTGTTCCTCTGCTCCTCCTCCCTGCTACAGCTTCGCCTCCTGAATCTTTCAGAAGGGGCACTGAACTTGATTCATGTATTTGGGCATTGTCTCTCTCCCGGCCTCAATGTCTCTATCTCTGTCTGTCTGTCTGTCTCTCTGCCTCCCTCCCTCCCTCTCTTCCTTTCTCTTGTCTCTTTGTCTTTCTCTCTGTCTCTCTGTCTCTGTCTCTCTCTCTCTCTCTCTCTTCCCCTCTCTCTGACAAAGAACTTCAGGAATTCTGACTCCCATGCAAACAAAAGCCTCTGAAATAAATCGTGGCTTTTTTGGAAGGGAAGTTGGAGAGCAGTGTGAGGGGATTGTCTGCCTTTGGCTGGTTTTGCCCTTGATCCATGACAAAGACCCAGGATGAAGGCAACAGAGGTGAAAGGTCGTCCTAGGCTGAGATGCTTTTGGTCCAGGGAGGTGACCTCCTGGTGGCCTGAGCGGCGGTGTGGACAGAACGAACACACTTGGAAGAATGGAAGGGT